AGAGTGTAATTATTAATAGTTTCTGAGAGATGGTTCCTGAAGATGACAGCAATGCTGAGTACAAATACCAGATTAGTCTCACGACCAGTAATTTTATCATATCATAAGCCAGTGCTACAAAGTACAGCAAAATGATAACCTTGACCCAGCCCCCAGAGACACCTTACATATACAGCAAGTAAGGTGTCACATAACACAACTCTGAGAACAAGCACAACAACTCTGAGAGCAAATAAATCAACATTGCGGCCAGCGACTATTAACCTAATACAATGAAAGCTTATAACAAATTTGTTTTAACACACTCTGGTCAGATCTGTCATTATCTCAGCCCTTCGAGCCCCACATTGGGCACCAAAAAGGACTGTCGTGGTTTAACCTGGCAGGCAGCTAAACTCCACACAGCCATTCGCTCACTCCCCCCACAGTGGGGTGGGGGACAGAATCAGCAAAAAGGTAAAACTCGTGAGTTGAAGTAAAGACAATTTAATAGGACAGAAAAGGAAGGGAAAAATAATAATAATGATAAAAGTATACACAGAACAAGTGATGCACAACGCAATTGCCCACAACCCGCTGACTGATGCCCAGCCAGTTCCTGAGCAGCAGCCGCGCCTCCCCAGCCAACCCACCCAGTTTTTTGTTCAGCATGACGTCATATGATATGGAATATCCCTTTGGTCAGCTGGGGTCAGCTGTCCTGGCTGTGTCCCCTCCTAGCTTCTTGTGCACCCCCAGCCTACTCGCTAGCAGGGCAGAATGAGAAACTGAAAAGTCCTTTGCTTAGTGTAAGCACTGCTCAGCAACAACTAAGACATCAGTGTGTTATCAACATTATTCTCATCCTAAATCCAAAACACAGCACTGTACCAGCTACTAGGAAGAAAATTAACTCTATCCCAGCTGAAACCAGGACAAGCTTGAATGTCTTTACCTTGTCTGTTGTTCAGTGAATGGGTTCTCCAGCATCTTGAGCGATAATCGGTATCAGGGGTTTTGCCATTTCCTCAGAAGCAGCTATCCAGGGGTGGCAGAATCCTACAGCTTCTAAAGAGGCTTGTGTTTGTTTTTAGTAACTGGTCAGGGAAGATTTTGAATGGTTTTAATATGCTTTTTAGATAAATGCCACTCCCCTTGTTGGAGAATGTAACCCAGATATTCTACACTTCTCTTATAAAAATTGTAACTTATGTGGAGAGGCCCGATGGCCCTTTTCAGCTAAGGCAAACAGTAAGGAACGGGTGTCAGCTATACAAGATTCCTTGGCTACTAATAAATCATCAACATATTGTATCAAAAACAGATCAATTTTTTTTAAAACACAACATCCTGCAAAACTTTTACTAAAATTTTAGAAAAATAGTGGAGGACTGAGTGAAGTCCTGAGGCAGCCTTGTCTATGTTAACTGTACCTTTCCCCAAATAAATGCAAAAAGGCATCGCGAGTCTGGATGAATAGGTATACTGATTTAAGGCGAAAAACGTTGTCCCGTCTCCAGTAAGTCGAGGGTTGTATCTGCCCACCTTTAGGGAATTTCAAGTGTCAGTAGACACATAGGAATGGGTAACTAAACTGAGTCCTCAGGGCAAGACTCAGGTCCAGACCCAGGCACTGAAATGTAGCCGTATGTGAGCTACATGTGTCAGGTCCCTGTATAGTCAACGGAGGTATATTCAGTGGATCTAAAGATTGAGGAGACTTTACCAAAAAACAAGGGGTTTTTTTCTGTGTCAGAAGCTTAAGACAATTAAAACCCACTTACAGCTGACAGAGTTACTCTTAATAAAAAAAAAAAAAAGCTGATGACAGGTTTTTGTTCTGCATTTGTCATTGTTCTTCTCACGTAACTTAATGCCATATAGAATTTCTTGTTCATGTAAAATGATAAAATGATACCTAAGGCTTTTCTGCTTTTGTTCTGGAAACAATAGATATATTTTCCAAGAGGATTAAGTTTCATATTCTTGGTATTGTAGTCTTTGGCTTTTTTAGTTAAAGGGAAAGTCTTGTTTACTGTAAGTTTCTGTACATTACAAGTTGGGGCAATGTGTGTTGAAATGATATGGATGCAATGTATCTGAGAAGTATGATAATGAAAGAGGCACTAGTTAGCTGTTGTGAACTACACAGATAAGCTGCACTGCCATATAGTGAAAGCTAGTTGCACAACGTGCAGAAACCAATAAAACCACTGTCCTAGAGGCAAAACATTGTAATTAGCAACAGCTTTTTGCACTTTAAAACTGGAGGTGATAATATTTTCCTTTATGTGTATTCGGATTATATTGTCTAAATTACATCCCAAAATATCCCTATTTATTGTAGTAACATGACTTGGTTGTTACCAGAATTGCTCAAGGGAGAACTCTCAATCTGATTGATCTTTAAAATCAAGTTTTGGCAAAGCATGTTCCAAATGCACTTTAAGTAGACTTACAAGGCACTGTGACTTGAAGAAAACACGTCACTAGAGCATACCGAACCCGGTTCGAATGGGAAATGTCAGGTGGATGCAAAGTGTGACAGACGTAATGTTGCAGCTTTGGCTTTTAGCTCTGAGAAAACTGGGGTCATCTGTAAAATTATTTAAAATCAGGCACTCTACTCTGGTTTCTGAGCCGTTAGGACATGATTAGGATACCCATTTTTAAGCTTTTTTTTCTCCCAATCATTAGCATATGATACTAACATCTTTGTGAAGGGGGAATGCTAGTCCCATTTTTTTAGTAATTAGGGCAATGAAGCACAGAGAAATTAAGGTCTGGATTTGCAAACACTTATACTCAAGTGTCAGCGCAAATAGTCCAGCTGGTTGTCCCTATGTATGAAACAGCTCAGTACAGACGTGCTGCCTCTGCCACACACTCTATTGCTCGTGGTGCGGGGAGAGGTGCTGTTACAGCAAGCTTCAGACAGCCTCCGACGTGCCAGTCCCCTGGACACGCAGGTCCCCGGTGCCCTGGGGGATACTTTTGGGGGCACCTGAAGCCAATGCAACTAGGTTCCAGATCTGGCTTTGAGGGACACCTCAAGGCTGCCTTAAGCAGTAAGGAAACAGGCTGTAGCCATTCAATAGGACCGCCAAGGAAGCTCAGCCTGTTTCATGGAATAAAGGGAAGATTAACAATTCATTTGCCCCTACTTGAGGAAAGAAGTGGATGGCAGTTGAAGCTGCAAAATGTGCTCCAACATCTGGCAAACAAAGCTAGGCAAATTTCAGCCCGTTTTCTTTTTCTTCTTTTCATCTTTTCAGTGAGGATGATGGCATTGAGGGTAAGTGAGTGACTTCCCTGAGGATGTGGTGGGATTTTCAGTGGCTTTGTATAATTGTCTTAAAATGCAGCAAGGTTCCCCCCGTAGCTCAGGACTCATGCCACTTGTTTAAACATGTCTGTGTTTGCTTATAATCATAACAAACCTCCCTAGTAGCACTGGGGAAGGCTTTACAGATCTGCACATCTTTTCTGTCCTAGCACAGGCTGTGTGGTGTCACTGGTCCATTTTCTGTTTTAAACCAGATGAAGCTTCAACTTCAACATGCATAGTGAGAATAAAAGGTTCTCTCTCCCCTCAAAATAATGGTACTTACACCAGTTTTATGAGATGCTGTTTTCTGCTTAATATTTTTCAGGGAACCAGGAGCTCAGAAGCATGTCGGGGAAGCCCAGGCTTACCTACTGTAATGGAAGGGGGCGAATGGAGCCCGTACGATGGCTGTTGGCAGCAGCCGGTGTGGAGGTTAGTTGACACTCAGTACAGTGTTCCAGACCGGTGTTTTCAACCGGCCTCAGTAAGGAACAATTTAACATGCATGTGGAGGATAAACAGCTACAAGAGGGTGACTAAATTCATTTGGCCAGTGGCACTGCATGTTTGTAACTACCTTGTTCAGTGGTTAATATTTGGGATGCAAACTCAGTGGAGCTTGGAGTTTATTAGAGCTAGTATCAGTCCCCTGAAGTAATTAATCATAATGGGTCAAAATGGGGATTTATTTAAAGGCCCTTAATTAACCTGAGTTTTCCAGCTGTGCAAAACCACCTTAACTCAGTCTTATTTAGTTTGCAGTTACAATTTGTATAAACAGAAGAGTGTTGTTGACTTACATGCCCTGGGATGGGGTAAGAAATAGTTGGTTTACCTTGTGCTTCCCTTGGCACTGGCTGCAGCCTGTCTTCCTCCTGTAGATGTCTGTACTCTGTTTCTACCTGCATTTAGGTTATTTCTGAATCAGTGCCCTGAGGCCAGGATGTTCTGCTCCTCCCTGGCTGCGAGGATGCGTGGGGGATCCTCAGGACATCTGCGGCCAAACAGCGCAGTTGAAGATCCGGCCCATTATCTTTTGCTTGGTTTGGTTGTTCTGTGCATGGTTATGTGCAATCGCTTACAGAAGAAAAATGTTCAAATACAGCAATGTAACACTATTCTCTCTCCTCCAGTTTGAAGAAGTTTTTTTGGAAACAAGAGAGCAGTATGAGAAGTTAATCAAAGGTAAGAATCCCAACACCTGAGGCTTAGTCCCTCAAAAAATTGCTCCAATTTAGCTAAATTGTTGTTTAAAATTAGTTTATTTAAACCAGTGCAAACTTCCAGGTGTATACCTAGAATACTGAAATACTAGTTTTGAGTAACCTGTTCTTTCCAGTGCCAAACAAATCCTATAAACTAAAAGCCAAAGCTTCTGTGACTGTGTTTATTGCAGTACATTAAACAGGGGTAGCAAACATTACTATTCGATCCAACATAATTATCTATGCTCTTGAACTGTTAGCATGGTTCCCAGCACATTTTTGGTCCAGGGCAAATAGCGCTTCTGAAAGCAATTCCTAAGCATCATTTGGGAGTTTTCCCAGGCCAAGGGCCATTTCCAAGATGTCATTTAGATGTGACCACCGTGCTCTACAGGCAGAGACAGCTGAATAGAGTGAATGTGGCCAGTCTGTGCCAGCTGGCCTGAGCTGTTGTTGACTAGTATAGATGTACCTGTACGTCAGTTCTGAACATCAGTGAGATAAGCCTCTAAATGAAAGGCCAGCAAGGCACCAAAATCCCCAGGAAAGCCAGTTTTCCTTTGTGCTAGGCTCTGTGCAAACACACTAGTGACAGTCCTGAGCAGGATAAGCCTGAGCCATGAAGCTTCCCCCAGTTAAAAAACAGGTAGCCAGCAGGGAGACCTGCAGAAAGTCTGACATGGTCAAAGCAGCAAGCCACTAAGGCTTCGTGTCAACCTTGTGAGTGAGACCAGTTCCCAAACACCCCTCGCCACTGCCCTTGATTTTTGGCCAGATTAAATCCAGCAGTGAACCCCTCCGCAGCCACCCTGGAAGGAGAAGACCTTGCTGCCGGCGTAGGGAAGGAGTTGGGACTGTGAGGAGCACTACAGAACACACCCGCCCCACAGTTTACCTGCTGCCCAAGACATGTAAGAGAAACTTCACAGCAGGCTGAGCTTGCCAGGACATACTAGGAGACTTGGAAGAGGACTCACCTGCATTCTGGCTGCTTGCTCAGAAAGGAAAAGCTGTGTTTAAAGAAATTCTGACATGAAAACTAAAATGAACGAAATAAAAAAGAAGTGGTATCAAGAAGATCAGAATTAAATTTGCAGGTCCAGCTGGCTGGGAATCTGACAACCTGGGAGGGCAGTGCAGTGTAAAGACACCAGTTATAGCTCTAAATATGATAGCTCAGGTACTGAAAGCCCAAATCTGAATTTGCTTCACGGGACTAATTAATCCAGACAGTGGTACAATCCTGGATACAGTGTCCAAGCTTATCCATATCCAGAGAGAAGAATTAAATGGTGATGAAAAGGATAGGGAAGTTTTATAAAGATCAAGGGCTTTTATGTGTATGTAATGAGCTTAAGAGGGTGAGAACACAAAGAAAAAGGTTGGGTTTAATACGATGGGTTGAAGAAAGACAAATTAGTTAGTCACCCTGATAAAGGGACCTCTGGAATACTGCCGGTCATGCAGGGCACGACTGAACACAAATAACCCCACATTACCTCTCCCTCTAATTTTTTTCTCTTCCTACCAACATGCTTTTTGCCAGGGTATCCTGTGTTTAGACACCACCACATTGTTAGAATGGTCCAGGTGTGACTTTGGCCCATGCCAGCTGATGATCTTCTAAGCAATGTCCCAGCAGCATCCAGGACGAAGCCTGGGCCAGGGGCTGTTCCCAACAGGCAGCTTGCAGACAGACAGTTGTTTTGGAGGCTGAGAGAGTTAAATAGCATTGGCCTGGCCAGACCTCTACCCATTGGCCAGAGGGACGACTAGCTTGGCTCAATCTGTGCTGCCATGGGTTGCCCAAGTTGCTACCTGGATTTCAACAAGCTCTGCTGGTCGGTGACAAATAGTAGGTCTAGATTATTGGTTTTTTAATGTATGCTCCACAGACCACCTTCTGACAGCACAATTCAACCCACAAAATGACTGGCAAACTGCTTTTAATTTTCCATATATATTCTATGCAGTGGTTATGTGAAGTGGTTCTCACTGCAAAGCGAGGAGAAGCAGTCCGCTACTGGTCATATGGGAGAAATACGTCTTTTCTGTAGATAAGAAACATACCGTGCATTCAGTTCACTTACATTTGCTGCATCACTTTTTGTCAAGGGCCAGAAAGTCAGATTTTATTTTTCACTTGCAGAACTGTTAGTTTTCCCATTCTACTGTGTTTCTGCTAGATAGATACCAAGTAATATTTCTTCCTTAAGCTGCAGAGGTGTGTTCTGGAAGGACATGAAGACACAGGATCTTTCTGTGAGTGCTTACAAGAAACAAACACAGGCTATTCGTTGCTGCAGAGAGAACTACTCTTTGTATTTAAACTGTAAATTAGTAATATAGAATGAGTGAAGAATGTTTATTAATTCTGGACTAGCAAAGTATTTTAATAGCTCTGTGGAGAAAAAAGTAAACAGATGTGCCCGTTAAAATGAACCCTCATACCTGAAAGAAGGATGCACTGAGTGGATTAAAATTGAGCAATCAAAAAAAATTATTAACTTCAAGCAATGCGAAGTGGCAGCTGCCTAGCTGGATTTGGAGTTTTGCTGTGATTTTAACAGGGTGGGATTGTTCTCTGGATGCCCTTAATGTGTAAATGGAGGAGGGACTATCTCCAAAGACAGTGAATTAGTCCAGCAGAAAACTGGTCTAGAAAAGACTGACTTTGCTGTGCTGACTGTCTATGTCAGCTTAGCTCTCAGAGCTGCCTCACTGAAGGCTCAGACAAATGTTCCTACCAGCACCAGGAGAAAATGGGACTACCAAGACATATCTAAATAGGCTTAAATTGTTGTGGAACAACACTGAGGATAGGTCTGTAATGAAAATCCATGGGGACTCTCAAACTCTTGTCCTTGGAGTGACTGTGTAAAACTTAAACGGCAACTGCTGTCACAGTCCCTGCCTCTAACCCTGTAGCTTCACGATGTTTAAAGTGGCCTGACCTCTTCCTTTATCCCTGTAGCTCAGTCTTGCTGTGATACTATCCCTCATTCTTTCTAGTCATGTGTATATGTCCCTGACAGGGAACTCATCTGCATTCAAAATAATTGGATTTTTTTTTTTTTAAAGTTCAGATTTAACACAGATCTTTATTCTCCTCCGATCCCTTGGGTTGAAAGTGCTGGTTCAGGCTTTTCCTGCCAGCATGAGACAGGGTCCAGAAGTGCAAAGGAGCAGGCGGTGCCAGCTCCCATCAGCCACTGAAGCTCTGGCAATGCTGTGAAGTGAGGGGCCCAGCTGCACTGTGATGACCTAGCTACAAAAGTGTGTTGCAGGCTAGTCAATATTTGATCTTTCCCACAATGTTAGTTTACTGCATGGAGTTTTACAGTTAGGGCAAGACATCAATGATCTCCTACACTGCAAAAGAAATGTGCTCAGTCTCTCGCTCTCCTGTAAAGCTAGCAGTCTAGGAGGAACTAACAAGCTTTCCCTCAACTTTCCACCCTAGATGGAGTCCTGATGTTCCAGCAAGTGCCTCTGGTTGAGATCGATGGGATGAAGATGGTGCAGACCAGAGCCATCCTCAGCTACATAGCAGGGAAATACAATCTCTATGGGAAAGACTTGAAGGAGAGAGCCCTGTACTGTAACACCTCCTTTCACTTAATAAGCAATTATTTGATAGCTGCATTATATATAATAAATTCAATCCTGTAAATCCAATAGAAAGGCATGAGAAAGGCTAACACATAAAAAGCCAGGACTCTAGTTTTTGCTTACGTTTTAACCACTACTTCTGAAATGCTGCTGAACAGAAACAGGCTTTTAGTCCTTTTAAAAAATATTTAGCTTTAGTTTATGTTTTGTTTTGGCTGTGAAAATTGGCACTATGGTGGTGATATGAAATTCCTGTAAGTTGCCTTAGTCAATTGGAAAACAGATGAAATAACTTCTATGCTCTTTTCTACTGTCTTCCCCCCACCAATAGGATTGACATGTATGTGGAAGGCATAACAGATCTGATGCAAATGATTTTGGTGTTTCCTTTCTCTCCACCTGAGGCAAAGGAGAAAAATCTTGACTCAATTAAGGACAGGGCAATTAACAGGTACTTCCCAGCCTTTGAAAAGGTAAGTGACAGTGAGGATGTGTCTATAAAACTTGTATTTACCATGTCAAAAAGTTTCCCCAAAATAAGAACATGTTCGTAGTGCAGGTCAGTTCCAAATCCTCAGCTTTCTTGGCTCTTTCAAAGGAGGGGAAATACAGCAGCACATTTTCTCTATTTCTTGGCTTGTATTGTCAGGGCTGTGTTATTTGAACATCTACAAAGCCAACAAAGCAATATGTTCTCAGCTATACAGCAAAACTTTTCACTGAAGTAAAAGCAAGCACGTATGATTTCTTTTTTCCTTGAGGGGATAGTTCCACACTTACATTTGCTTAGAGCACATCTCTCTGCTATACTTAATTTCAGTTGGAAGATTTTCATTAGAAGAATGCAAAAATCCCTTGCAAATAAATCAGGTAGAGACATTAGGAGTTCTTTAGAAAAACAAAACCTGTAGATTTCTGCACATCCCATTTTTGAAAACAACAAACCAAACCCATATGACTCAGGCATCTGGCAACATTTCTCACTTTTGTAACATTCATCTAGTCTTGATGGAAAACAATAAAGGCTGAATGTCCTAGAAGCTCTTATGACTGTAATAACTTATTCCCAAAGGCAGGGATTTTCTTTGGTTAGCTATTGTAATTCTGCGTTTCTAAGTTTGCTTCCTGGTATCAACACTGGACATAACTTTAAATGAAATATCTAAATGGCAGTTTTATAAATTCTCCAAGTTACTCTTTAGTTCCTCCATTATCCCTATTTCTAATTCTATTACTGTTACTAGTCTACTTAAGTGCATGGTTTTGCCCCTGTTCCCAGTGCCTATCATCATTACCGAGTGACCGAAGCTTGTGTACTACAAGAGTTCAGATTTTTTCCCAACAATAATGAGATGATTTAGGCTCACAGCTTCCAGCTGAAAACTCCACCCTGAAATTTCAGATATAATTGCTGTTCAGCTCTACAGCTCTGCTGTGAGGCTTAGCTGCCAGGCATCATATGTCCCATTCTCATCTGCAGCCCACATTCTCTTGTATTCTACAGGTTTTGAAACACGGCCAAGACTTTCTCGTGGGCAACAAATTCAGCTGGGCAGATGTGCAGCTAATTGAAGCCATTTTAGCAGTGGAGGAGAAAATACCTGCTGTGCTGTCGGGGTTTCCTCAGTTGCAGGTAATTTTGTTATTGAGCATGCCTGTATTCAGGAGCTAGAGGGCAATCCTGAAGTGATCATCTCTCCATGCTACGTAAATGAGGAGTGTGGGCTCTTTGTGGAACTGTCACTATCGTATGTTTGCTTAACATCAAGCACAAGAAGGAATTGATTTAGCTGGTTTGTTGTAAGACACTGTGCTCCTGATTAACCCTGTTGAGGTTAATCAGGATAAGCCTAGCCCTCTTTGAGTGGTATATGCCTCCTCAATAGAAATAAATGAATGTCATCCCAAGGGAATCACTGATCTAAGCTGCCTTGTTTTCATTTTCCTGCTTCCTGCCAGTAGATGCTATCCAATACCAGATAACAAATTAAGTCTGTGATACAGGTTCACACATTAGAATAAGGTACAGTGTGCCATTTTCTGTACTGGCTGGTATTACAATTTTGGGATCCCAGTAACCTCACTTCACTTCTGCCTTCTACAGTATGACTAGAAACTCAAGCCTTAGCATTAAGACACTTTTCTTTCAATAAACAACTCGATACAACTGAGGATGAATTCTCTGCCTTTGCGCCATGTACAAAGTCTGAAACAAAGCAGAAGTGAGGCACTTCTGCTGTGAGACTTGACCAGAAATCAGAAGCCTCCAGGCATGCAGCATGCTATAGAGCACAGTGCATGGGCAAGCCTAGGGCATGACCTGCAGGAGTCATTAAGAGTTGAGATACAGGGGACTCAAGTAGTCTGTGACTGGAAAAAAGCAGATAGTGTTCAGCAGTCCCCCCTTGTGCCTGTAATCATGGTAATAAAGCAGTCTAGGCACTGCAAATCTGGGTTGAGGACGCAAGGCTTGAGGTCATGCTTCTTTGTGCTTACAAACTGTTAATTTGAGGGGTGCGCTCAAAGACTTTGGTTTTATTCCCATTAACAAAAGAAACAGTTCAGCATCAGACTATCACAGTTAGGTTTTCTGCTTGGAACTGATGAGGAAAATGGTTTTGATGTTTTTTTTAAATTACTTTTAAAAAATTTTTAAATCTCAACCCCAACAGTTTAAGCCTGAATTTAGCGTGACAGAGTGAGGCACTTCAGCCACGAAGTGGGCAGTAACATGTGTCAGATTTTATCCTATATGCAGTTTTGCAGCCTCAGGTAATTCTTGCCTCTAGCTCCCATCTTCTAGCAAAGTATCTTAGCCACTAGGCATGGGCACAGTTCTGCTGAAGTCATGCCTTGAAGGAGGCATTCCTTCACTGCAAGAAGGGAAAAAGTTTCTAAAATTGGTGGTTACTTATTTCAGTTTTTACTTTTCTTGCTCCTTCTTGTATTTCCCCCTTATCCTTCCACTGCCTGTAAGGAAGAGGAAATTATGTTCATACATCTGCCAGCAAGAACTGGCTGTCACTCTGTGAAGCCCTTAGCACCATTGTTAGAAGAGGTTCTTGTGTATCTAAGATTGCTCAGCTAACTGTGGGGTCTCCAGCTGCTTGCAATCTGCACCAGTGAGTCCTCTCTGACTGTCTGTACAATGAGATGTCTCAGGATCCTTGACTCAGTTGCCTTAACACAGGCATCTCTTGCCACCTGAGATGCCCAACGCTTCCCTAATCTTAGTCCTGGCCTCCAGCCACTGCTCCAGAAGGGAATAGGTCTCCCTGAGGGGCTGTGTTATATCTGCCAGCCCTATGTAGATATTTTGGCTACCTCAGGCTACAACACAGTACGAGAAGGCTCTACTGGACAACTGAGTTGAGCCAAGGATGCCTCCAGCCATTTCACTTTCAGCCATGCAGTCCTAGAAATGCTGTGACAGTGGGACAACATTGGCCATGCTAGATGCAAACAGAGCTCAGATACTTACATAATGTAGTACAAATGGAAATCACGTTAACATATATCGTGGTTTGCCCACATGGGAGTTTGCACCATCAGAACCAGCAATGAAAAGAAAAAGGTCATGAGCTGGGTTAGTGTTTTTGTACCTTCAAAACTATCCCCTGGTGCTCCTGGATATTGAATTTTTGCCTTCAGTTTCTTTCAGGCAGCAGAGATTTAGATGTTTTCTGCTCCAGTACTGCCTTCATTGGTAAGAACAGGCTTTCTGCAAGAGCTGGGTCCTCCTCCTGTTGGACAGAAGGAGACTCTGTAGACGGCCCGAGATCTGAATGAATGTTAGGATGTCTTCTAGCAGCAGGGGGAAGCAGTTGTTCTGTGCAAGGAGCACTGTCTGCTACTGGAGTAGCTGGAATTTCTCTCTTACTCTGTCGTTTTTTATTTTTTAGGCTTTTAAAGTAAGAATGAGCAATATGCCTACAATTAAGAAGTTCCTGCAGCCTGGCAGCCCAAGGAAACCCCCACCTGATGAATGTTATATAGAAACTGTGTTGAAGATTTTTAAGAAATGAATGGCTTGCTACCTTCGGTGAGACCCAAAATACTGAAGGAAAAAAAAACCAAACCCAAGGAAGCAGAAAGCTCAGTAAATTAGTATCATTGTAGTTAAAACAATGGTAAAAGAAACCCCAAAACCAAAATAAAGCATTCTGATTACTCTGGCAATGTGACAACAGATTTGTCTTTATTGATATCAAATTCTTGGCAAAACATGAAAACAAAGGAGTATGGAAGCAAAGAACTATTTGTAGGGTAGGGAATTTATTCTTATGGAAAAAGACCGATGTGGTGTTAGTATTGTCAGAATGTAACTTGTTGAAGAAGATATTTTCTGGATGAAAATAGGCTTCCGAATAAGAGCTATGGAAGAGAAGAAAGAGCAGAAGACCCACTGAATCACTTATCCTTTAAAGAAGTAACTTGTTTCAAGAGCAATTTTGGTGAGTAAGTACTTATATAGCATTATTTTTAGTGTTGTGTGAGTGAAACTTCTAATTTAGTATTAGTTTCATCTGTTGTTACTAAAGCCAAATCTCTTTGGTTTCTCACACTTCCCAGGTCTTGCCTAGGAATGAACTCTTACAATGTTCCATTATTTTCTTCCTCTACCTTTTTAATGTGATTCTTCCAGGCACCTTAGTTCATTGTTCCCAGTGCATTGGAGTCTGTGCACCTCTTCACGTGACGAACCTCTTCAAAGGATGGGGAGGGCAGAGCCACATCCTCAAACAGACGATCACTCAGGTTCAGTATCTGTCCATGCTTCTTTCTGTGCATTTGCCTGTCATTTTGGGGGACTCTCAGCTGCTTCCTAGCCCCAGTTCTAGACACCAGCGGCTAGTCCTAGTAAAACAAGAAGCACCAGGCTCCATTCCCTGGCTCTGAGGCCATATACACGCTATTAAACTCTCTTATTACCCAAAGCTGTGTAACCACATCCAGATGGCCTGTTGCAGCTGGGCCCTGGCGTGGACCAGCTGTAGCTGGGAGCCATCTGGGCGAGAGCAGCGGGCACAGACCAATAACCCCTGAGCGAGTCGCTGTCAATTCAGTAACACAGCGTCTTCCAGCATCTGTGCCGTGGCGCTGCCTCGTGTTTGATGTGATCTTTGGAGAACTCCGGAGGGCAAAACCTGAGCCTGAGCTGCCACTTTGAAATGCGGGCAGGCTAGGGGTGCTGCTGCTTTGGCAGCACTGTGGGGCACCACCCGCCCTTGCGGCAATGTGGTGGGACCAGTGACACTAAGGTGGTCACAGCTCCGCCCAGCGAGGCCTGTCTGCAATGGTGGAGGCGATTCACAGAGTGCCAATGGGGAAGGGAGGAGTGGGGTCACAGAGCAGTGCAGGTTTCATGGCTAGGACAGCTCAGGTGCATTAAAGGTGTAATAAAGTTGGCTAAATTTCTTTTATCAATCTCTCCTCGTGCAGGTAAGTTCACTAATCATTTAGTGAGTTGTGCTCATTATCTCTATCCTAAAAAACTATTTAAGGTTTCTTGGAAAGTGACTTTGGTCCAATGTGAGCAATGAAGAATGTGCCACCCAAAAGACTCCCAGGTTTGAGGTCAGGGTCAGCTCAGGCTGAAGGGAGGAATGGACCTGCATCGCTTTCACCCTGGATCTCTGCTCCAAATACTGAGCCACTGGGCACAGCAGTGGCAGCCATCGTGGCAGGCATCGCCACCTTGCTCCCCAAGACTGTCAATCATATTTGGTGGCGACTACCTAACCCTCCGGGAGTCACAGGGTGTCTTGGAAAGATCTACTCTGGAGGTGGCTCCTCATTTAGCCGGTGTGCCAGCATGTGGGATCTGTGCTGGCCTGCCTCACCCCCACCAGGCGCTCTGAGCCGTGATTCCCCAGGCCACCCAAGTGCTCAGCTCTGTGATACCAGCCTCCCTGTGTCAGCCTCGCTGTCGATGCTTTGTCTCCTCCTGGTTCCCTAGTAAGTGAAAGCAGCAGGTCTCAAGCAGTTGCTGGAAGAAGTTGCTTCTTCAGGTACCAGAAAGGAACCTGAACTTATTTGTTAGCAGTTGGCAATGCCATAGGCAAACTGCCCGTGTGGCTGTGCTGCTGTGGTGCATCCTGCCACCTTGTGTCACCAGGCACCTCTGTGCTGTCCCAAGAAGAAAGCCACTACACACCTGACTGTGCAGGGATGCTACCTCCCTCGTAGCTGCTACCGCATCCCCATGCAATCCATGTGGCTGCTGCCTCTCCATGCTGAGCAACAGGATGGGCTTTGAATGTGAAAGTGGAATTACTGTGAGCTGATTGGCACATCACTTGCTCATACACCTGTAAAAGGTCAAAATGTAGTCAATGTTACCATCTTTAAATTAAGGCCTGTGCGTGAATTGGATTTTTTAAGATCTCTCTGCAAAGTTTTCCTTGCAAAACTCATTATTTTTCTTCATAAATCAATTATTTCAAACCTTGTGTATGATCTTACCAGCATTTCACATGTAGGTTACAAATATATTATCTCTTGAGAATGAAGCGTTGTAGAAGAAACACGCAATCTGTTTTGCAGACTCAGATAAGGCAGAGGTGGTTTACTTCTACAGCTGTAGCACAGAACACAGAGCAACAGAGGTTCAGCTTCTGTTGATTTTAAAACAAAAATATTAGGGCTTATATACTTTTACAGCAGACAATAACTGCCTTGTGAAGGGGCCTGATGCAGCAGAGCAGCATCTGCATAGAAGGAAACTTTCTTCCAGCAAATGTCAGTAACCAAATCTGATGTTTAATATTGCCATGACAAAAGTGTAGAAAAAAGGAAATTAGAAAAAACTATTGGAAAATGAACCTGGTAAGGAGAAAACAGAAGAACAAACTTCCTTTCCAGATTGCTCACTCTCCAGCATTCCCCCACGCCTCTCCCACGCAGCAGACTACAGAAGGACAATTAATTATTTATTTCTGATAGGATGCAACTAGATGATGTGGGATTTTTAACGGAACATGCTCTGCATTTTGTCACAGGCAACTTATTCTTTTACTACTATGTCTGATACAATTGTGTAGCTTTTTGGCTATGACCTGCAAACACTGAAACTTATCTTTGTTCATCTGAGGGCAAGTGTGTGCTTATGCACATAACTCAAATAGTGAGTGCTAGCGAACTGTGTACTCAAGTGCACCTTTATGCTTTAAGCATAAATAGAACTGAAATAGAAAATATACTTATGTGAGGTATTCACATGTGTGTATAAGGTAGGGCCCTCTTGTAAAATTTTATTACTTTTGTAACCAGGATTTAAAAAAAAAAAGTGCGTCCTTTAGTGTTGTCAAGCTTTTAGGCAAGCTAAACAAGAGAGTAAATCTGAAAATAAGGGTGCTGGAAAAATGCTAGCATACCCTATTTGCAGTTTAACCCTGTAAGAGGTACAAAAAACTGTTAAAAACAATTGCATTTCCCACTGGTATAGGATATACATTGGCTTAAACTGTAGGGGCAGAGAGCATGAGCAGTTTAACAAGACATATGGCACGTCCCAGGCTCCATGGAGCAAGAGGGCTGGAGGTCGCTGTCGGGAGAAGGCAGATAAATATAGACTTCTGGTATTTGGTGCGTATGTGTTCCTTTCCGTGCCCACCTTGGGTTTCAAAACAGAAGTTGTATTTCCCATCAGTTTTCCACTCTTGAATTCCCAACAGCTGCTGGAGGAACAGCTAGCAGAGTTAAGTGGCTGGCATCTCTCACTCTAGGATAGTGAGGACCTGCAGGTCAGATGTTGAAATGGTCGATGCACCTTCACATTAGGCCATAAGCGACCTTAGAGTGGAGTCGTGCTGGTTTGTGTCATGTTATTGCTTGAGTGGGCTTGGAGGGATACTTGCAGAGGAAGTTAATCCCTTAACCCTGGTTTCAGAGAGGAGTCGTCTGAAATCATTACTAGTAGTGATCTAAGAAACCTCTGAACTTCTACAAATATTAGGATCCTTTCTGCGCTGTCTGATGGAAAGCTGAGAAAAGAAGAGGAAAGATGCTAAAGAGAAGGTTTTCAGGTGCGAAATGCTCCTGATATTGTCTGCCTGTCAATGGCATGCTACTTTCTATTCTTACACATTGACTGTCTCCGTGGGGAGAGAATCACATCCAGAAAGGAGAAGGGTCCAGGGTCTGGAGGTGCGGAGGGCAAAATTGGGAATAATCACAGGTAAGTGAGACAGTGTGGAATTTGCCAAGACGACACAAACTAAGATTACAAACTAAGGAGGGGAGAGGGAGAGAGAGAGGGAGAGAGAAAGGGATCCAACTAGGGGGAACTAGAAGGAAATCTGAAAGCTTAACATGCTGTTATGTGGAGAGAGAGCTCTGAAAGCAACGGTGAGCAGAAAACACCCCATTCACAACCTTCTCTTTGCCTCGCGTGGAGATGGCAGGAGCTGCTGATGTTAGCCAAAGAAAGATGATCACTAATTTTCACTGAATATCACAGCGTTGTTTTGGTTTTGCTTAGGCAAGGTCTCACATTTATTATTCAAACTGTGATGTAAGGAACTGCTGGCAAAAATACATCATGGTAGAAAAAATTCAAGCTCAGTAGCACTGAGAACACCTGCTGGCTTCTAGGTAACCCACTTGCTCTTCAAAATATTTGGGAAAACACCTAATCATAGAATCATTAAGGTTGGAAGAGACCTCCAAGATCATAGAGTCCAACTGTCAACCCAACACCACCATGTCCACTAAACCATGTCCCTAAGCGCCGCATCTACACGTCTTTTAAATACTTCCAGGGACGGTGACTCAACCACTTCCCTGGGCAGCCTGTGCCAATGTTTAACCACTCTTTCAGTAAAGACATTTTTCTTCACGTCCAATCTAAACCTCCCCTGGCGCAACTTGAGGCCATTTCCTCTCGTCCTTTCGCCAGTTACTTGGGAGAAGAGACCGATACCCACCTCGCTACAACCTCCTTTCAGGTAGTTGTAGAGAGCGATGAGGTCTCCCCTCAGCCTCCTTTTCTCCAGGCTAAACAATCCCAGCTCCCTCAGCTGCT